CCCCAAAACCCCAAAACCCCAAAACCCCAAAACCCCTTTAAGTAATAGAATAATAGAAAGATATCCTAGATAATTAAAAATGAGAAAGCAGAGAAACAGCAAGAATATTCTACGAAATCATGGCAATAGTGTCTACAAGACCATCAACGAGTAAGTTTTATAACAAACATTTTCTTGTTGGTAGTTTCTTGGCTCTTGACATGCTCTCATCAATTCTTTATAGACTTAGGTAACCTAATTAAGTAACCTATTAGAAACAATGACTTGAGAGATCTTGGAATTTACGATCCAACTACAATGAAAGTCGAGCCAAATCCAAAATCTTACTCTAACAACACAGATCTAATTGAGATCTGCAACGGAAGACGAATAGGGCATCCACATAAAAGGATGTTAAAAGAATATGAAGAAAAATTTAGAACACGATATCAGGATTTCTTCGAGAAATACAAACAAAACTGGGTGCAGTATACCATCAATAAAATAATGGGGAAAGATCTCGGGGATAAGTACCCGAAACTTCTTGACCAAGAGCTGCACAAAAAGCGTACTATTCTTCTACCCAAAAACTCCCGAAAGGTATGATTCTTCTAACAAAGTAGCCTTGAACTAAGCTCCGGTCTAAAGCTCTCAGAAAGTCAGCCACTGTGGATGGAATAAAGCATCAGAAGACAGGGGAATCCTTGATGTCTAAGGCAAGCAAGAATAAAAGAAGGAGTTCATTAGATATTTCGAAGTTGAAATAGAAAGATCAGTTCCCAACTAAAGTAAATCCCTTGGCTAACCACAGGTCACGGAACCGGATAAGACTCCCAATTTCAGGGACTTATTTTCCATGAATTTCAACACATTTCTCTAAGTTTCACAACAAAGGTGAGAACAGGGGGTGTATTGACTATCGTACTAGCAATAAAGCTGATAGCATAGAACTAGGCTTAAATTTGTTTTAGAAAGCGCAAATTGGAAAACTAACTCGAAACTGTTCAAGATGGACATTATGGGTGAGCCCTAAACAAGTTTGTAAAGACTTTAAGGTGTGTAAAATACATTGTGATGGCCAAGGAAAGATGAGTGAGATCAGTTAAGGCCCAATCAGCCTTCTTAGAATTATCTCTAGAGGGTAAACAAGTTCCAGCAACCCTGTTACATTAATATAACATTTGACAAATAGACTTACTCATTACCCAAATTTCAACTAGTCTTTCAAAAATAGGGGTTTTGGGGTTTTGGGGTTTTGGGG